GGCTAATGGAATTTGGTCTTTCATATCGTACAAATTAAAGATGCTTTCAAGTTTGAAGCATATTATGATTTGTGGCTTAAAAAAAGTTATAAACTTGAGGAAGTGGCTTTAACAATTAAACAAAAAGGTGAAAAAAATGACTAAACCTAATCTCAAACTTTCATCTCGGTGGATTATCCACAATTATTGCCTCAAAATATTTTATTAATCAAAGTGTGCCGAACATAAGCATGACACACTCGCCCTTTTTTTTTGTTTTACTATTTTAATGATACACACTCATTCACTTTAACATGAGCTGCTTTCGAAAACGGATTACTATCTTATTTATAGACGGCCATGATAGTTAAAATTCCACAAGTGGACTTAAATTATACCACATATCTATATCTTCTAGAAAAAAAAATGCATACCTCATATCCTTTTAACGAAATGTATAGAATAATAGTAAGACACGACACTTCTTTTTCAGAGAGAATGAAATTTAAGACCATTGCACTTGGCAAAGGACAAATCCAATTTTTTTACTCTTGAATTTTCTACGTAGTAGAAAGGGAAAGTCCAAGGAAAGAAAATAATTTTGATCTATTCAACAATGATATGATATTATATGTAGAGTTAATATTTATAAATTATTAGTGTAAATTTTTAATTTCACAAGTAGTGTCAAGAGATTAACACATGTTTCATTTATATTTTTTATTATTTTTTTTATTTTTAAATATATTTTAAGAAATATATATCATTCTTTTAATATCATTTGTAAAGTCTAAAAATTTTATTATCAGTGTATTTAATAATTTTTTTATATATATTTATAATAAATGATATATAATATAGAGAAATTATTTGAGACACTAATACTATAATTTTTTATTTTTATTAGTAAGGTTAAGAAGATGACACATATTTTTTTTATTTGTTAAATATACTCTAAGAGGTTTTTCTCACCTTATTAACACCACTTGTGAAATTAAAAAATTATACAATATATTAATAATTTTTCTATAATATATGCTTCTATTTTTCTTTTCTTTTTTTTTTTTTTATAAATGATATTCCGTATGTTTTACATTACAATCATTATTTTTTTACTATATCATTATTTGTTGCTGTGAAGAATCGCTATATATACGTAAATTGTCATTCACACTTCTATTACAGTAAATTACTGTGAGGAAAAACATTATTCCTATAAAATAAAGGTCGGTGTTCTGCGACGGACGCTATTTGAAACCCTTGCTAGCCTTTGCTTTTGATGAAAAAGTTCATAATTTGAATCTATTGTTTCTAACAATGCAATTAAAACTTTTCAAGATCACATCCTTTAATGATTTGCCTTCTAGGAGTTTAATCCAAACTAACTCAGTGGACCAATCCATAGAAATTGCATGGATGTTTACATCATTTCCATTATTAATTGAATAAATTATCTTCGAAAACAAAGCAAAAATATGAGGTAAGATTTATTCTACAATAACTTGTAAGGGACATTTTGGCAAGCAATTGATGAACACCGATTAAACATTATTAAAATTTGTGTAAAAGAGAAATATTCAACTGCAACTCATTATCCTTGTAGCATTAAGCTACTTCTTCCTATGAGTATTCGTATTCTGAAGGCAACGATGAAAAAATCTGAACTATGGTATTGTGCCAAGCCTGTCAAGCCAAAGTTAGTGAAGAAATACGAGCACCGCTCCACGTGAACGGGTAGAAGTTGATTATTCTTGATTGGTTAACCAGAGAAAGAGGACAGATTCAAACTTTCTTTTCAATCACTCCACTAAAGGAAATATTCTGAAGTTCCCTATTTCCTGCTTATTTGTAATTGCAGGAAAGAAGAAAAAACATGTGAAGAAAAAAAAAGGTTGATTTATAAAGAAAAAAGTCAAATTCATTTATTCATTTAAAATATTTAAAATAATATTTATTTATTTATTATAAATCAGTAATTTATGATTATAATTAAATCATATCAAAATTTTGTAGTAATTGTCATGAAATCGAATCCGAGGGAACGAAAACTCTGACTTAAGTATCCAAGTCCAGCACTCCGTCCACTCCAGAAACACTTGATCCAACTTACGTCATACCATACCTCATTGTTTTGACAAAAGTCAAGTTTATCTATTTTCTCTTATAAATAAATATAAAAATAAAAAAAACCTTTGAAATGTCAAAATGGCGATGTGCCCTTGACTTCTGTTACTTGAGAGTTTCAATTTTCTGTTATTCACCCTTCAGTGTTTGCTTTTTACACCTAATTAATTTCATTTACCTGATTAACTTTGAATAAATTAATTTTTAGTTCTTTTATACATTTATTTTTAAAACTTACATATATATATATATATAAGTCTTTAAAAATTTAAGAACTTTCAAATTCATAAACCCATTAAATTTATGATTTCAGAAAAAAATAATTCAATAAAACCGATTTCATTTTAATAAAAAATTTTAAAAAAAATAAATAAACGCAACTTACTTTGCTTGATTAGTTTATAACTTTTGATTTTAGGGTTTGAATTAAAGTTTTAAGATAAATTTTAATTTAAGATTTGAAAAAAAATTTAAAAATAAAAAAAAGAATTTGAAAGATTTTTAGGGGAAAGAAGAAATATGATTATAAATTGTAATGAGGAAAATTTTATATTTAAATTTTAAATTTGAGATATAAATACAAAATGTAAAAAATAATTAATAAAATATAAATTGAAGCTCTCCTATCACTTTCTTGGAGTCGTCTCGTCCGTTCCACCCGCAGAGCGGAAGCTTACGTGGACTTACAATGCCACCAAAACAAAACGCTCTAACGTGCTTCTCACAGTGTGAAACAATGCAACCAAAAATCTGCCAAGTGCCATCCTTTCATTTGTCTTAGCTGGCATCACAGATTCTCTTCTCAACACCATGAGATAAATAAAATTCCAAAAACACAAATATTATTAATAAATACACTACAATAATGATAATAATTTTTTAAAAAATAAGAGCATAGCTGTAAAGTATTTTTGTTTAATTTTTATTTTCTCGTTATAGAACAGTATAATGACAAGGAAATCATACCTAAAGGAATTAGAAGAACATAATACATTTATCAAAATTGTAAAATTTTTATGTAAAAAAATAAATTGGTTGGAACTTGAAATTTAGAGAATTATTATGTTAAAACACAAAACCTAAATTAATCTCCCATGCGTGATGATGCGTCCTTTAAACGATATTTCTATATTTTCAATAAAGTATTTTGAAATTAAGTTGACTTTGGACAATTACTATGGTATTACAATAATTTTTCTTAAAATATTCTAATATTTATTCATCTTGTAATTTTTTTTCATCTTCATATTACAATTTTTTACATAAAAAATGTCATTAAAATGTATATGAATACATTAAAGTGACTTTTAGAAAATTTTATGTAATTAACAACATTTGTAAAACACAACTAAATTTATTTAAATTTTACTTTTCTTTAGGAAAAGTCTAAGGAAGTATTTGATTCGTTAAATTATAAATTTCAAAAGAAAATATGATTCTCAAAAAACTATGATATCTAGGGTTTTTTTTTATTATTTTTAAGATATTTCATTTTCAGATTCACTCATTTGGTTAAGAAGAATTTATGTATATTAAATTATGAATAATTATTATAATTTTCTTTGCATAATTATTATAATTTTTTATTTTTATAGATAGATTATTGAAGGTGTTTTTGATAAAAAAAATACCTTAAGTAATTTTCTCTAATTTTTTAGAATGAATTATTCAAAGTATTTTTAGTAAAAAATGTCTTAAATAACCCCCTCTCATTTTTATGTGTGGGATTATTCAATATGTTTTTTGTCAAAAACACATTCAATATTTTTTTTTATTTTTACGAGAAGATTATTAAAGGTATTTTTTGTAAAAAAAATGACTTTAATAATTTTTTCTTTTTTTTTTTTAGATTATTCAAGACGTTTTTTGTCAGAAATGCTTTCAATAATCCTATTAAATTTTATGAATGAATTATTTAAGATGTTTTATGGGAAAAATATCTTGAATAATCACTTCATAAATTTTGAAGGAGATTATTGAATACGTTTTAGCTAAAAACGCCTTTAATAACATATTAAAAATTTATGTGAGAATTATTCAAGATGTTTTATGAGCAAAAATGTCTTAAATAATTTCTAAATTTTAATATTTTTTGAGATTATTTAAGATATTTTTGGACAAAAATATATTGAATAATCACATTATAAAAATTAAAATAGATTATTGAATGCGTTTTTGGTTAGAAACGCCTTAAATAACTTTCATTAAATTTTTTGTTTTGAGGATTATTCAAGGCATATATAGACAAAAATGTCTTGAATAATCCTAAAAAAAATGACAGGCAATTATTGAATGCATTTTTTTTCTAAAAACGCTTCGAATAATCTCTTACAAAAATTTAATGAAGGTTATTCAAAGTGTTTCTAGCCAAAAATATTTTCAATAATTCCTTTATAAAAATATTTAGAGATTATTTAAAGCGTTTTTGGTTATATACACTTTGAATAACTTTATTTAATTTTTTATAAAAATTTATTGAATGTGTTTTTCATGTCAAATATCATATATAAACCAAATTTTTTATCAACATAAATTTACAACTGACTTACATTCATTTTTTGACATATTTTTTAAAATGATAACAACTATTTCATAATTTTTATATTAAGTTAAATTTAAAAATAACACAATTTTTTTCTCTAAAATTTTAAAATATCATATGAACGAATAAGTTTTTGGTTTTAAAATTTTATGAACTATTAAAAATATATTAAATTTTATTAGAATAAAATTATCTTAAATCAAATATTAAAATTAAATATTTAATAATAAAATTTTAAAAAATATATATGAATTCTTTCTAATCAAAGTATCCTTTATTCTTATTATATTATTATAAATGTTTTTTTCCACATATTTTAAAGTTGATCTAGTAATTTTTTTGAACAAGAAGTTGTACATAGTGGGGATTGGCGCCACGTCCTCTTTCATCTATCGCATTGCTTTTCTCCCCGTCCCCTTCTCTCCTCTAACCAAAGAGAGAGAAAAAGGCAAAATTGCAAAACACGTTCTTCATCATTTCACACAGCACACGAAGAAAAGAAAAAAGCTAGTATGAAATGAAATCTCAAAATTCTTTGAACAGGTAAAAATCTAGGGTTTTTGGAAAGCCGAATCCCCAACCACATCGTTCATCTCTTCTATAATGGCGACTCCATTGTCGAGTTTAGAAGCGGGTGGAGGAGGTGTAGTCATTATGGCAGGTCCTTTGAACCCAATCGATCGATCCACGCCCTCCAAATGTTGCTTGAAAAACTCTGCCTCTAAATCTCCCATTCTCATCTTCTTGTTCTTCCACAAGGCAATCAAGGCTGAGCTCGACGGCCTCCATCGAGCCGCCATGGCTTTTGCCACCAACCACCACGACACTGATCTTACTTATTTGTTGGAGAGATATCATTTCCTTCGTACCATATATAAGCACCATTGCCAAGGCGAAGATGAGGTTCGTGCGTCGTCGTTTCGTTCATTGTTCTCCTTGTTTATTATAACCTTTGTATTGACTGTTTTGTATTTGTTGGTACTCTTTACCATTTTCAGAAAATTTCTTAACTCATTCCTCAAAGTTAGCTTTCCAGAATTGTTACTAAATTCATAACTTTTAATGCTTTTTTATCGTGCTTTAAAGTTTGTTAATTGAGGAAAGAATTTGATTGAGGTTGATTTTAGAACTTGAATGTATCGGCTGCGGTATAATTCTACTTTCATGACTCAAAAGACATGAGAAAACCTAAGTGAACTAAACTGCCTTATTGTAACTTTAAGTAAATAAAAGTTTAAACGATATCCAATTATTTTAATGAGCCTGAATTTTTTTTAAATTGTCTTTTTTCTGTGCGATTCTTGTTGGTCGCCTCATCACCTTAGATTTGTCTGATATTTGAGACTGCTTATGGTTAGACTGAATTCAAAACTACCTTATGTGTAGGTCATCTTTCCAGCTCTTGATATACGAGTGAAAAATGTGGCTCCAACATATTCACTTGAACATGAGGGTGAAAGTATCCTTTTTGATCAGTTGTTTGCGTTGCTGAAATCAGATATGCAGAATGATGAAAGCTATCGAAGAGAGTTAGCCTCTTGCACTGGAGCCCTTCAGACATCAATTACTCAGCATATGTCCAAGGAAGAGGAACAGGTGTCTCTTTGTTTCTAAAATAATGGGTGTTAGACATTTAAGGAAAATGCAGAATTTGAAACATCAAACCAAATGCTGGATGAAGAACTTGTGTCCTTAAATCTTGGTTGTTTTCTTCTTGATGTGCTAAAGCAGCTCTTCTAATTGTAATTTGGGGTGAATGAGGTTGACAATACATATTTCTGAGATCTTTATCCTGATTCTTGTGCTTTTCATGTTCGTCAGTGTTTTTGTTTCAGCACATTGGTCAACTGAACAAGTTTCTCATAGCTGATGGAAAAGAGCTAGAACTCTCTGGGGATGATTTCTCTTTTTTACTGCTTAATTTAGTTGCACGATCATAAATTGTTACTCTTTGGGATGGTATCAATAGTCAATTTCAGCTTTGTAATTAGTTGTTCAAGTAGAAAAACAAATATGTGCTTTCTCTACATATGCAAATCTTGCTCCATGTGATCATATCACTTGGCATGATACAAGCCAGTCCAATGAAAAAATAAGGAGTTAAATCTTCTAAGTTAAAATTATCTTTTAATTTGACATGCTTGCTTTGAATTGGCAGGTATTCCCCTTGCTTATTGAGAAGTTCACATTTGAAGAGCAGGCATCATTGGTATGGCAATTTCTTTGCAGCATACCCGTTAATATGATGGTGGAGTTTCTTCCATGGCTTTCCTCCTCTATATCATCTGATGAACATCAAGATATGCGCAAGTGCTTGAGCAAGATAATTCCAAAAGGGAAACTTCTTCAGCAGGTGACAACCCTTCTAGGTTATATAGGATATTAATGTTTTAAAACACAAAAGTTCCTTCCAGAATCCAATCTCATGTTTTAAGTTCTATTGAATGAAGGTTGTTTTCACCTGGATGGAAGGTGTAAAGACAGCTGAGAAGTGTAAAAGTTGCAAAGACGATTCCAAGGCTCGATGTGAAGCTTCCGGGACTAGTGTCTTACCCAGTCAATTTGAGAGTGGTCACTGTGCATGTGAATCTTCCAAAAGTAGTAAAAGGAAATGCATGGAGCTAAGTTCTAGTCCTAAGGATTCCACTCTGTCCTGTCCTATAGATGAAATGATGCTTTGGCATAATGCTATTAAAGGAGAATTGAATGATATAGCTGAGTCTGCTAAGAAGATACAACTCTCTGGTGATTTTTCTGTTTTATCCAGCTTCAACAAGAGGTTGCAATTCATTGCTGAAGTATGCATCTTTCACAGGTGTGGCTTTTCTCTGTGTTTTCCCATCTAATAGTTCAACCAACTCTGATAAAGATGTTATTGTCAATGCTGTTTTCATGTTTCAAAGAGGTATACCAAATTAATGATCTTCTTTAATTAAGGTTGTTGTTTCTTCATAGCTAGGGCTTCCTACCTTGCATGTGCTTTTGAATCCAGAGTTTGTTTTATGCAGCAAAAACTTCATTTATGATTTGATGCATGAAAAGTATTAGGACAATTTTTGAGCTGCCTTTTTTACTGTTACATGTTATCAAATGAACTTCTCTTCTCTCCTGCTGCAGTATTGCTGAGGATAGAGTTATATTCCCTGCTGTAGATGCAGAACTATCATTTGCTCAGGAGCACGCGGAGGAAGAAATGCAATTTAACAAGCTCAGATTCCTTATTGAAAATATACAAAGTGCACGAGCCAACTTGTCTTCTGCTGAATTCTATGCAAAATTATGCTCACAGGCTGGTCAAATAATGGATAGCATACAGAAGCATTTTCATAGTGAAGAAGTACAGGCAAGTATTTTATTGTTTCAATATGATGAGTTTCTATGCCTGCTTTGTTTGATTACATGATTTTGCATTTCTTGACATTTGTATAATGGTTGTATCAAATTGTCAGCAAGTTTACCTGCAAATATCACTTGAAACCATTTGTAGGCATCTCTTTTTCCCCTACAACTGCTGTCTATAAGGTATGCTGTACTGCTTTTGTAGGTGCTTCCACTTGCTCGAAAGCATTTTAGCCCTCAAAGACAGAGAGAACTTCTTTATCAGAGCTTATGCATGATGCCCTTGAAATTAATTGAGCGTGTCTTACCATGGTTGGTAGGATCGTTAAGTGAAGAAGAAGCTGGGTTTTTCCTTCAAAATATGTATTTGGCAGGTTTGATTGTAATTGATTGAGTGCTATAGGTTATTTTATTCCTTTTTGCCCTTTTCTAACTTTCACAGTTATATTGACAGCTCCACCATCAAACTCTGCATTGTTTACATTATTTTCTGGTTGGGCATGCAAAGGTCGCTCTATAGATGTTTGTCTGTCTTCCAGTGCAATTGGTGGTTGTCCTGCAAGAATACTTACTAGAATGCGGAAAGATACTGACCAACCATTCTGTGCATGCACATCTATCTGTTCTACTGAGGAAAGGCCAATGTGTGTTCAAGCAGATGATAATAAAAGGCCAGTAAAGCGTGGAAATTTATTTTCATCAGAAGACTCTGATTCTTTGCAGTTGACAGGAATAATAGATAGTTATAAATTATCATGTCATAATCAGTCTTGTTGTGTCCCAGCTTTAGGAGTGAATAGCAGTAAGCTGGGCATGAGTTCTCTGGCTGCAGCAAAATCTCTGCGGTCATTATCTTTTGCTCCTTCTGCTCCCTCCCTCAACTCCAGTCTTTTTAACTGGGAAACAGATATAAGCTCTACTGATGTTGGACCCCAAAGACCTATTGATAATATATTCAAATTTCATAAAGCCATCCGTAAAGATTTGGAATATTTGGATGTTGAATCTGGAAAGCTTAATGATTGCAATGAGACTTTCCTTAGGCAGTTCACTGGCAGATTTCGCTTGTTGTGGGGTTTATACAGAGCTCACAGTAATGCAGAAGATGATATTGTATTTCCAGCACTAGAATCTAAGGAGACTCTTCATAACGTTAGCCACTCTTATACTCTGGATCACAAACAGGAGGAGAGGCTTTTTGAAGATATTTCATCTGCACTTTCCAAGCTTACACAACTTTGTCAATGCTTGAGCAATAGCAATGTGTATGATAACTTGAATGAAATTAACTCTGATTCTTTTGAGCAAAATGATACAATGCAAAAGTACATTGAGAAAGCCACAAAGCTTCAGGGCATGTGCAAATCCATCAGAGTAACTCTGGATCAACATGTGTTCCGGGAGGAACTTGAGCTCTGGCCATTGTTTGATAGACATTTTTCTGTGGAGGAGCAGGACAAAATTGTTGGTCGAATAATTGGTACTACAGGCGCAGAGGTGCTCCAGTCAATGTTGCCATGGGTAACTTCTGCTCTTACTCAAGAGGAGCAGAACAAAATGATGGACACATGGAAACAGGCAACGAAGAACACAATGTTCAGTGAGTGGCTTAATGAATGGTGGGAAGGAACTTCTGCTGCATCTTCACCTACATCAACATCTCAGAGTTGTATTTCCCTAGGTTTGTTTGATGCTTTTGCCTGGACCTTATTTATTTAATTATTTTATCTTTTTTGGTCTGTTTTGTGTGCTGGGTCAGCTGAAGTGCAAAGTTGTTAGTTCTTGAAATTTCTAGATATCTGAATCTAAGGATTTTCAGATACAGTCTCTTCCTAATGAAATTAAAAATTTCTCTTTCAAGACACTGATGTACATGAAAGCCTTGATCAGAGTGATCTCACTTTTAAACCTGGCTGGAAGGATATCTTTCGGATGAATCAGAATGAACTTGAAGCTGAGATCAGAAAAGTTTCTCGGGATTCAACTCTTGATCCAAGGAGAAAAGCTTATCTTATTCAAAATCTTATGACCAGGTTCGCTCAGCCCATAATACAATCTTATGAACTCCGTGTGTGTGTGTGTGTGTGTGTGTGTGTGTGTGTGTGTGTTTGTATCACTGCTTCATTCTAATCAATTCATTGGTTATGCCAGTCGCTGGATAGCTGCTCAGCAGAAGTCTCCTCAAGAGACAGAAATTGAAGGTTCAAATGGTGAAGACTTACTTGGATGCTCTCCATCTTTCAAAGATCTAGAGAAACAGGAATTTGGATGTGAACATTACAAAAGAAATTGCAAACTCCGTGCTGCTTGCTGTGGTAAATTGTATGCATGCAGGTTTTGCCATGACAAAGTCAACGACCATTCAATGGATAGGTAATTTTATGCCATTCTTCTATTCATGGTTTTGGATGGACTTCTATAAGCTTGATTGTCATTTTATTTAATTGCAGGAAGGCTACAACGGAAATGATGTGCATGAGCTGCCTGAAAATACAGCCTGTTGGACCAGTTTGCACAACACCTTCATGTGGTGGGCTCTCAATGGCAAAGTACTATTGCAGCATCTGCAAATTTTTTGATGATGAAAGGTGCTAGCAATTTCTTTAGAATTCTTTCTGAATTTATTAATGGTAGAAGATCTAAAGAGCATTTAAGTATATAGTGTGAAGAAATACTATAAATGTTCAGTAATTTTGAAGTTTGTATAATGAGTCTGATCTGTCTTGACCATCTGGAGCACTACAGAAACCTCCCAAAACAATGGAAGGAATGTTTGCACCTCATTTTCTCTGTTCTCTGTTGTTTCTTCAGTAGACTTTCTAAGTCGGTCACAATCCCATGTGTGCTAGAAAGGCTGAGCTTTTCCTTTTTAGAATACAGGTTCAATTTCTTGTGAGAATTCTGTGAACAAGTTCTTTTTTAGGTGTGGATACTTTGGACAGTTTTGGAACAAAAGTTGTTGACTGCTTCTGCTGTTCTATAAATATTCATCTTTTATGTCTCTTCCATTTATTTCAGAACTGTCTACCATTGCCCTTTCTGCAATTTATGCCGTGTTGGAAAGGGACTTGGTGATGATTTCTTCCATTGCATGGTATGCAATTGCTGTCTTGCCAAGAAGTTGGTGGACCACAAGTGTCGAGAAAAAGGTCTAGAAACAAACTGTCCTATCTGCTGTGATTTTTTGTTCACATCAAGTGAAAGCGTGAGAGCACTTCCATGTGGCCATTTCATGCATTCAGCATGCTTTCAGGTCTATTCAGTATTCCTTACTTCATCATCTTCAGCTCTTTTACTCTCATCCAACACATCGACTTTTTCCTTGGTGTAGTGAGAACAATATTGTAGAGAGCCTGATAATCAATTCAGCACATACTTTGTTTTCTCAGGCATATGCATGCAGTCACTACATCTGCCCTATATGTAGCAAATCAATGGGAGACATGGCGGTAAGAAAATTCTTCTTAAAAGCTGAAGAAATCTCTTGAATAAAACTATTTTATTCTTTTATATTTTTCTTATTACAATGCTAGAATTGCATGAAAATATATAGGCTAAAGATCGAATATTCTCAGCCTTAAAACCAAAGATTTTGATGCATTAAAAACAGCTAATTAAAAGAGTAATTTACTCTCTACATATAATGAAAAAATATCTAATGGATTTGGTGTAATTACCCAAATCACTCCTTATACTAAAAATAAGAGACTTAATTGAAATAGACAAAGTCAATTAGTCAAGTAATAATAAAGATTAGATTTCCATACTCCCCCTCAAGCTAGGTGGTAGATGTCAATCATACCTAGCTTGGACTTCAGATTCTCGATATTGTTTCGAAAGAGAGCTTTAGTGAGTATGTCTGCAATTTGGAGGCATGTGGGAGTATAAACTAACCTAACAATTCCTTCCTCTATCTTCTCTTTGATGAAGTGATAATCAATCTCCACATGTTTAGTCCTATCATGATGAACAGGATTTTTTGCTATACTTATGGTAGCTTTGTTGTTGCAGAATGTCTTCATGGATTCTTTTGCAGAGACCTTTAACTCCCCTATCAACATTTTTAGCCAAATTTCCTCACATATGCCATGAGACATAGCTTTAAACTTAGCTTCCGCGCTACTTTTAGCCACCACAGATTGCTTCTTGCTTTGCCAAGTGACCAAATTTCCCCACAAATAGGTACAATAACTAGTAGTTGATCTTCGGTCTGTAACGGATCTAGCCCAATCAGCATCAATGTAAATTTCAACATTTCGACGTGATGTCTTCTTAAAAAATAACCTTTTGCCAGGACTTTCTTTAGGTACTGTAAGATTCGAAACACAACCTTCAAGTGTTCCTTGGTTGGGTTCTTCATGAATCTACTTACCATGCTAACTGAAAAATTGATATCTGGTATTGTATGAGAAAGCTAGATGAGTTGCCTTACAAGTCTTTGATATCTGTCCTTATCTTTAGGTGTACTTCCTTCTTCCATTCCCACCTTATTCACTGTGTTTATAAGGGTGTCAGCAGGTTTGCATCTAAGTGTTCCAATTTCCTTTAGTAAGTCTAGGACATATTTACGTTGTGAAACAGAGATACCATTCCTTGAGTGAGCTACCTCCATGCCAAGAAAATATTTGAGGTGTCCTAAATCTTTAATTTTGAATTCGTTGGTTATAAGGTTTTTAAGGTTGCTAATTTCTTCCACATAGTTTCCAGTAAGAATAATGTCATCCACATAGGCATTAAGAATGGCTATTTTTCCTTAAGGTGAATGTTTGACAAACATGGTGTGATCGGTCTGGCATTGTGAAAAATCATACTTTTTTACCATTTTTGTTAGTCTATCAAACCATGCACGTGGGGATTGTTTGAGACCATATAAAGACTTATGAAGTTTACATACCTGCCTAAATTGTCCTGGTTTTTGAATCCTAGAGGGATTTTCATGTAAACTTCTTCTTCTAGGTCACCATTAAGAAAGTCATTTTTGACATCTAGTTGGTGGAGTGGCCAATCTAGATTTGCTGCCAATGATAATAACATCTGGATTGAATTAAGTTTAACAACCGGAGCAAACACCTCCTCATAGTCAACACTATAAGATTGAGTAAATCCTTTTGCAACAAGGCGAGCTTTGGATATATTAATACTTCCATCTGCATTGTACTTGATAGTAAAAATCCATTTACACCCAATTGGATTTTTCCCTTTGGATAGTTTTGAAATCTCCCATGTTTTGTTCTTTTCTAGGGCCCTGGTTTCCTTTAGAACAACCATCTTCCATTTTGGTTGCATGAGTGCTTTATGAATATTATTGGGAATCTGCATATTGTTTAGTGTGGTAACAAAAGCCTCGTGATAAACCTTCATAAAAAATCATATTACAGATTAGATGTTGAGTACATGATCTCACACCTTTCCTTAGAGCGAGCAGTTGATCAAGATCATCAAAAGATTCAATTGAATCATCCAGTAAAAGTGTTACTTGTGTTGGTTTTCAACATTTGGATTTTGGTTTTGAATTAAGTTTGGATCATATTATTGAAGTTTTGGAATAGCTGGCCACTTTTTATTTTTCTTTCATAAGGAATACCCAAGTAACCTTGGTGTTATCATCAATAAATGTGACAAACTAACTGGAATCAGTAATGTTATTTACTCTGGAGGAACTCCAAATGTCACTGTGTGTCATGGAAAAAAGATGGGATGCTTTGTAAAACTAATTAAGATATATGGTACGGGGTATGTTTGGATAGTTAGCAGATTTCATACTGAAAGTTGTTAGGATTTTTATTGAATAATGAGAGAAACAACTTTTAGAGGTACAAAAAATTTGGATGACCTAACCGATAATGCCACAACATGATAGTATTATCTTTATTATTATTGGAGGATCACACGAGGTATTCTGATATTGTCTTTCAAAATCATTAACTTTTAAGATATAGGATCCTGCACACATCTTCGCATTACCATTCATTTTCTTTGAGTCCAAATCTTGAAATTCACACATATATGGAAGAAATTTAGCAACACACTTAATGTCTCTTGTAAGTTTGCTTATTATAGATAATAGATTGCAACTTAGATTTGGGACAAATAAAACAGAATCAAGTGTTATCTCTTTGGAAATAATAATAGAACTTGTACCGGTTATTTTTTAAAGTGACCCATCAGCGATTCAAGTTGTGAAGTTTTCATGACATGGGTTGTATTTACTAAATACAGATGCATCTCCAGTCATATGGTTTGAAGCACTTGAATCCACAATCCATAAATTTTATTTCTCTAGTTTTACACTCAAGGCACTTAAAAAATTACCTTTTTGTGCTAAAGAACCTGTTCGAATAGGAGTGGTAATGTTATGCAATAATTGGGAAACGCTAGCTTTGGGGTTAGAGGTAACCTTTGATGTTGGGCTCTCCATTCCGCTGGCCATGCTGGACTCCGAGTGAAAATTTTCAAAAGTTCAAATTGTGCTTTAATACCATAAAGAAATCTCTTGAATAAAACTATTTTATTTTTCTAAATTTTTTTATTATAATGCTAGAATTGCACGAAAATATATAGGTTAAAGATTGAATATTTTCAGTTTTGAAACCAAAGATTTTTATGCATTAAAAATAGCTAATCAAAGGAGTAATTTATCTTCTACACATAATGAGAAAATATATAATGGATTTGGTGTAATTACCAAATGACTCCTTATACTAAAAATAAGATACTAAAATAAAATAGACAAAGTCAATTAATCAAGTAATAATAAAGATTAGATTTTCACAAAAGCTTACTACTAGTTCAAGTTATTACTGCATATAACATTGTTTTAGAATTTCATTAGGGTTTAGAGAGGTTGATATTATGCTTTAGGTTTGGGCATTTTTATTTGTTTGTGTAACTTATATAATTATTATCAAAGTAAATTGCACCCATCACCCACCTTACCTAAAGTTCAACTTAAATATCCTACTTGACCTTATAGTTTGGAATTTCACAATTTTATCCTCAAAATTTCAATTTGCATCAAGAATATCCTTCCATCAATCAAACCATTAAAAACACTTAACTTAGGTTTAGTTTGGTTTTGCTGTTGCAATTGAAAAAAGCGTAGTTTGGAAAAAGTGTGTTTAAAATGTGTTGTGAAAAATAAGTGTGAAAGATTGTGGTTTAAGATATTGAAGTGTTTGGCATAGCTTTGAAAAATGTTGTGAAAAATTAAAATGTTTAAAAAAATGATGTTGAAAAATAAATAATAAGTCATTTTCAGTACTTTTGAGTAATTAAATTAATATGTACAAAAAAAATTTTTGTGATTTAATTTTAAAGTTTGTTAAAAATATATTTTTTAGATTTCTTAAAAATTCAATTATTTCAAGTTAAAATAGTTATATTTGCTCCATATTTTCATTCTAAGTTCAAAATATTTAAATATATCAAAAGATGGTAATGCTATATATTTAAAATAAAATAAAATAAAAGGAATAATTTTATATGCCTTATAAAAAATATATAAAAAAAATACGATTGAGGTTAACTTTGTCATATGTGAATAATTACGTGGGTATTTGATCATTTTTTATCCAAACCATAAATTCTAAGGTTGGTTCAAATTGCGTTTGTCAAAAGCTCCTTTTGAAAAAAAAAAATTGAAGTGTTCGGGATTGAGTTGGTTGCCAAAAGTCCAAAACCCAGCTTTTGGCAGCCAACCACAATTGAAACGAGCATTTACTAGCTGGATGATGTGTCGCCTTGATAACTAATAAATGGCAAGTTAATGGAAGAATTAACAAGTAGATTGACGGAAGGAGTTTTTATTTTATACAAATATGAAGTTTGAGGACAAATATGTGACATTTGGAACCATAGGGATGAAAATGATATTTGAGGCAAACTTAAGGACAATGGATGCTGTTTCCTATTAAAATCAAGAAAAATTTTAGAGTGCATTTAGAAGAGAGATTTCAATGAGGAATTCCATTTGTGGAAAGGATTTCAAACTCTAAACATAAATTGACTTTATTTGGCAAAATAATAGTTAGAATTGTCAAATTTCTTGAAATTTCAAATTTTTGAAGGCCCAAATTTGCTCAATAATAAATGATGCCCCTTTTGGTGTCATTTGTGAATTTCTTTGGTTTTTAACAAGACATCAACTCTCATTTTCTTTCCCTTTGTTATGTAACTTTTATTTTCTCTAATCCTAACTACAAAACTTATTTTAAAATATATGTTTTTATTTTTTTTTTATTATTAACATCTACACACTTTTAAGAATTATGACATCCGTGTTGACTTTTTTTTATTCATTTTTTTCTTTTTATCTCAAACATTTTTAATCTTTGTTCATATTATTTTCTTTATCTCTTCAAATTTCAATAAAATTCCAGTAAAAAATTGATTATCTAAACAATATGCTTGTAAATGCTATAATTTTAAATTGATGCATTTTAGAATGACTTCATTTCAAAATTCTCAACCAAATAAACCTGTTGAAATTCATTAATAAAAGCTATATATATATTTTTTAAATAAAAGCTATGTTTAAGTCACCAAACTTCTTTTCGGATATTGATACCATCCATGTCATTGCCCTCATAAAGTTGAGGGATTTCATGTTAGTACCTATTTTCACTTGGTCCCTTTACATTGCCATAAGTCCACTTGTGGGCTGGCAGCTACTAGTTGAAAACCAAAAATGACCTTAAGTAATTGTGTTGATGTGTAGATGAGAGGCAACATTCACTTAGGCTTTGTTTGGTTCATAAAAACTGTGTTGGAGAAGAAAATCACAAGGAAAAGAAAACAGAAGGAGCTTGAAAGTCCTTTGTTTGGATTTACTAGGATTTTTATACATGTTTGTCAAGGTGAAATATATCTATATAGTAAAGGTTTATCCAAGGTTTGACTCGACCCACCCATTAAAGCTTTATTTAAGCCCATTACTTTTAAAAATTACTTTTATAATAATATTTAAATTTTAGAATTAAAATTAAATAAAAATAATTTTCATTGATTAAATAATATTTTGGGCAAAGCCTAGTTGCCTTGGGCTTGAAAAATACTATCCAAGGCCCGACATGAGTCATGTTAGGCTTGCAAAAGTATGGTAAGAATAGTGAGGCTTAGGAGGACAACAATTTGAGATAGGAAGGAGTTTTGGAAGTGATGAAGGAGACAGAGCAAAAAAGAAAAAGAATAAAATTGTTTGGCTTAGTGGCAAAAGGAAAAATTAAACATAATGTTAAAAAGGAAAAGATGATTCAAGCCCAAAATAAACAATAAAGGCCAAAACTAAACCAAGGTAAAGAGAAGAAAAAATGATAGGAGAGAAGGTTGAAAATGATTCACCAAAAACAATTTGAGACAAATGAAGGAGAGTTGAAACATGAGGGAAGAAGGGAAGAAGCAAAAAGGAAAAAAGAATAAAACTATGTTGTTTAGGTTAGTGGTAAAAAGAAAAATTAGTAAGAAAGAGATGGATTAGGCCCAAACTAAATAGTAAAAGGGAAACTAAAACCTATCTTTTTTACCCAGTAAAGAGAAATAAAAAATGAGAGGAGAAAAGTGTGAGATGATGTGCCAAAAAAGTTTCAACTGTGGGTGATTTTTTTTCTCTAGTTTTCTTATATATTTCACTTTAACAAACATGTATAAAAATATTTTTTTCTTGATATTTTCCTAGCACACCCAAACAAATTAAGGAATTTCACCTCCATATTTTTATATTTTTCCTTTATATTTTCTTGTTCATCATTTTTTCATGAACCAAACAAAGCCTTTAAGAATTTTACTTCTTTACCATACAAAACACAAGAAGATAAGAATATGAAATTCTAGAATTTCATCTTCTTTTCCTTTATGTTTTCCATGAATGAATTAGAGACTTTAAAAAAAATATTATTGCAAAGATGCAAAAGTATCTTTGTAGGGTTTATGTTAAATATTAGTTCCTTTCGAAATATAATCATCTTATTAAGTGCCCAACACGTACTAAATGGTTGGTAGCCGGCTGAGCTCATATTGTTCATCAACCAGCGTTGCTTTTCATATGCTATCAGCCTGACATAACAAGTGCCTGAGAGTTCCGCATAAATTAATTAGCTACTTGAGACCTTCCAATTCGTCTCAAGCTTTTGTGCTGCCCTATTTAGGTTTACTTTGGCATGCTTGACACGCTTCTGACTTCTGAGCAGCTTCCAGAAGAATACAGGAATCGCTGTCAGGTAACCATGGCGGCCATTTTACTTTCTCTTCAGGCTCTTTATTTAGGAGTGCTGACAAAGTGGTTTTCTTAATCCAGGATATACTGTGCAATGACTGTGATAAGAAGGGAAGTGCAACATTTCACTGGCTGTATCACAAGTGTGGCTATTGTGGATCATACAATACCAGGGTAATTAAGGTTGAGTCAACAAATACCAACTGCTCGACCTCCAATGTCTGAGGGGATCTGGTCGTCATGTTCATTCAGGTGTGTAAATACCTCAGAGCTTCCACTTACTGTATAAGGCTTTGAAAACCAAAGTTTTGGCATTAGGATAATAGTCAAAATCCATTTTTTCCATTTTCGTCCCAATAGATGGAAGAAATTAGGGTTTTTTTTTTTTTAATTTATGTCCATGTTTTGCCAGAGCAAATTTAACTATGTATTCAAACTTTTACTTTGCCTATTGGCCATATTGTTTTATATTGCCCTCGCACGTACAGAGAATATCATTGGCGGAAAAAGGAAAAAAAAGGGGGAATTCTTCTGGTAGACAATGAGTTCAGGTGTAGAAAAATTGCCAGTGCTAAAAGAGGGAATTGCTGCATTACGTTGTAAGAAAACAAAGGGCTATGTGGTTTTCGCCTGGGGGCTCTCTCGGTAGAGAAGGGTTCTTTTGGAACATTCTGAGTTTAGTGAAGCTCTTTTTATTGTTGCTTTTTACTCTTTTTTCATTATAGCAAAATAAACAAGGTTTTTTTTTTTTTTTTTTTATTAGAAACATAGAAATGTTATTGATGGTATAAACAATCAACGATCAACATATCAAAATGCTGACAGAAACCAAAACAAGCCTATGTGGGAGGGGAGCGTATCCTAATATATCTCCTGACAACAATTTTTAAGCTACTCAAGATGCTGACGCATTTGCCCTTCTCTTGAGTATGAGTCAAACGGGATTGTATCATTTGTCCTTCAAAAAGCTGAAGTCATTAAACGCTGAATATATTTTCCAAATATTCTTCCAGCCTAGTACTGTTATCGGCAGCATCCATAACTACCTTGGCATAAGTTTCAAAAATGACCTTTGAAACTTCGCCTGCCACCACTGCTTCTTTTTAAGTTCTTAAGCTTCAGCCAAATTCAGCAGCAGAGTGAGTCAGATTTTATCCTATGCCCTGTACCAGCAAGAACCTTCCCAAGAGAATCCCTTGCAACTATTCCAACACCAGCTTTCCTCGTCTTGGAGTCAAAACTGCCATCACAATTGATCTTTGTCACGACAGTGGCTGACTGTGCTGCAGTCAAACTTAGTCAAGATTTCTGGTTTTTGTTGGAGGTTTTTTTTTTTTTTTTTTGTATTTAACTATGATGTTATATAAGGATTTTGAGTGACTGCTCGATGTCACAAGTCGGGAAACAAAATGTTATTAGAGTTTGGTGAAAACTACTGTAAAAGACTATTTTTATCACATATATACTTGAATGAAGAACGAAGCTACGTTAATGAATAACTAAGCTAACTAACCGTGGCGGATCACTGGCCAACAAACAAAAAAGGAAAAAAGGCGGATCTACAATTTTTTTTGTTTGTCCACTGATAATATATATATATATATATATATAATCAATTTATCAATTTTATGGATATAAAGTATGTTCAGGGAAAATTTTTCTTTCAAATATTTTTATATTTCAATCATTGGAGGTGTTCATGAATATCCTATTTAAACATTTGAATCTGTCTCTGCTAACTAAAGCAAATGACAAGATTACCTTCTAAAATAAAAAATAAGGTATTATAGCTTTTTAAGAGTGTTAACCTTAAATTGATCAATATTTTAAAATGACAAGAATCTTAAGTATGTTTTTTAACTCAAATTTGCTTAATATTTTTGCTTACTTTATAAAACCAAAAGTTTATTTTACAAATTTTTTATTTGAGCTAAATACAAGTGTAATTGTTGTTTCAAAGAAAAACTATTGTACTTGGACTTAATATAATTGTGATAATATTGGCTCTAAGAAATGAAAGTTTCCAGTGTGCATTACTTTAC